AGCTTCCAAAACTATAACAGAGCAAGAGCCAACATTTGCGAAGTTAATGTAAAAAGTTATATAGAGCGCCATGAAAAAGAGTATTTAAAAAATAATTAAAGAGTATGAGAAAACTTAAAAATTAAAACTTAAAATTTATTCAAATTAGATACAAAGAGGAAGAGAGAGAGCGAGAGAGAAAAATGTTATTATCTAAGTATATTAAGTAACAAGCACAAGGATTAAAGATTTCATAAATTTCGAATACACGAAGAACAAAAATAATTTTGTGGCAAAAATAGTCAGTAAAACTAAATTTTAGTAAATATTTTAAATCATCCTCATTCCAATTATATCTCTATGCTATTTTTAAATCGCTCTCAGGTATATTTATATTTTATACAAATATGTAAAAATAGGAAAAACTGAAAATGGGTAATCTTACGTCTCAATATCAATCGCGATAAAGCCTCGCAAAAGCGACTCATCCTCTAAATGATATCTGAATTTAGAAAGTTTATAACCGCATCTAGCATCCTTGAGATGCATTTCGATCGTGACGTCGTCGGAGATGCATATTTACGAGATACACTTCCGCCGTAAACTGCGCATGCAGCTATTACGATTTGAAGAAGCTGTCACGATAAAGTTCCATCGAACTGCTGCATCTTCTTGACTCTTTTACATTGTGCACATCTCTTTCCACCATCGTACATTCGTTCCTGTCTCGAGAAAGTGCCAGCTGCATAATTTTGCAACCCCGGTGCAACGCGATAGACGTATAAGACCCGACAGATGTCCCATCTCGTGCTCGGTCACATCGTCTAGTTGTCATTCGTTTGTAAAATGGGACTCACAATTTTCATTTTCTGTTACGTCGACGTTCCTTAATTCTGACATAAAAGCAACTTATCGTTTCGTCTAACCACACTTTGCCTTATACATTTTTCCCACGATTACATAATACGTTGTATCAATATATCTCGATTATTGATTGATTTTTCTCTCATAGACACGCAGCAGCTTGCAAAAATAGAAATAGTATCTTACAACGTCGTCTAATTTTCGACACTTTCTTTTTTCTAGCAAATGTAATAAACAATAATAATTGTCTACTTCGCGCACAATACTTTAAATAATACATGTATGCATATTATATGATGCACTATGATTCATCTGTACAATGTGCATTTGTGTAATGACGCCCGAATGAAACATTTAATTTGACAATTTACATATAATGATTAGATGATTAATAGCTCATGAAAATGGTAATTATACGCTCATGAATCAACAATCTAATGCAAATTAATAATACGACATAAATCGAAAATGATGGATAATATACATGTATTTAATATTACAAGTATTGCAATCAAGTTTGACGCAAGCTGGTTAATTTTATTGATGCGATACGGAAGCATATGAAATATTTTAATAACATATCTAAAAATATTTCATTAAATCTCTTCTTTATACATACATACATACATACATATATATATATATATATATATATATATATATATATATATTATATAATAAATTTAGTTTCTGTATATTTCTGAATATTAATATTAATTTATATTCTACGAGAGTTATGCGTATTTGTATACCTCTTATTCAAAAATATTTTCGACTCTTCGCGTTTGAAACTCGCTGATATCGATACAGTTACTAACTTTGTTACGTTATCAAACTATCGCAAAGACAAATACGTATATGGACGTTTATTTCACTGTTTAAACACAAACGTATAGGCAGTTAACTTTCGAAGATGCAAGATCTTGTTGCTACGCCATTGTGAGAACCGGCAGCAACATAGCGCGCAGCTGAAATGGGTCCCTGATTGCCATGAAATGAGGAAGAATCGACCCCCAGATAGAGGGAAAGAAAGGTTTTTCACCCAGGGTGCAGTAAGCTATCCGTGGTAAGGAGGTAAAGGCTCGCCTTAGGGAATACTTTCGAAGTGTCTGTTTCTGGGAAGGAGAGTACGGCCAGATCCGGCGGGTGAAAACAAGGATTGCCAATGGAAAGTCGTGAAACACTTTTACGTCTTGGTAGCGGTAATTGAACTTTGCTATGTGTTCGAATAGTATTCTCAAAAGATTGCAAACTTATAAAAGCGCATTTTGAGATAACGATCGCTGGAGAAAAGAGCGAGCTAATAAGAACAGCCAAAATAGGAAGTGAACTGCAAAGTTCTCGATATACAAACGAGATGAAGAGAAATCAGCTGCTTGGCGGAATACCGTATAACGGATAATATATATATATATTTTGTGGCGGGTATTCTGCGCACGTCCCGTGACCTAACATACGTTTTATGCCTTTAGCCACCTTCTACCACTTTTCGGTGTACCCATGCGCTGACCTCGACTACTGTACTACTGTCGACGTGCGTGTCGCGCTCTTCACACGGGACTCTACGTGAAGGTACAACCAATATCCGTGATCCTTCGGGATGTTCTTACATAATATCTTACATATATATATATATATATATATATGTAAGATATTCACACACATATATATATATATATATATATATATATGTAAGATATTCGGGATGTTCTTACATCTATATATATATATATATGTAAGAACATCCCGAAGGATCCCGGATATTGGTTGTACCTTCACGTAGAGTTCCGTGTGAAGAGCGCGACACGCACATCGTCAGTACAGTAGTCGAGGTCAGCGCATGGGTACACCGAAAAGTGGTAGAAGGTGGCTAAAGGCATAAAACGTATGTTAGGCCATGGGACGTGCGCAGAATACCCGCCACAAAATGCTTTTGTCACGCGACTATGTGTTGCGAGACCGTCGTCGCACATATACACTCTTGCAAGTTTAGCGGATAACGATACACGCCATTTACGCCTCCCTTAAGAGAAAACACGCGATTGTATGTGTCTACACAATACAAGATCGAAAGTATCGCACATATCATTTTCTATTTTCTTCTTATGAGAAAAAATTACTGAATTATCATTGTTTCTAATATTTCAATATTTTTAACATTATTATATCACATGTGTATATATTAAAAAAAAATTTTATTGAATTTGAGTAAATATTTATTTCAATACTACCTAATAATATTCATTTGATGTGAAAAATATTTATTTGATATAAGAAAATGCTTTTCAAAACAGATAAATATTTATACGTTTCAAATAAATAATTTACTGAGCAGTATTAAAATAAATATTTATTAATTTAATAATTTTTTTCCAGTATACGTATATCATATTTTATATATTATAGCACATATTTTATATATAAATTGTATATATAAACACAAAAAATTTTCTCTTAAAATTTATTCTAAAAGTTATTGTAATTGTAGGACAATATAGTATTAAAAGAATTTTATAAGAGTTTCTTTAATTAATACTTATTTATCACAATAAAAAAATTAATATCTATCACAATAAGATGTAAAATATATTCAATTAATTTTATTATATACATAATAAAATTTACTATATACATATTAATATTTTTATTATGATAAATATTAATCACAGGGAAACTCATATAAAATTCTCCATGTTTTATATAAATTGATATAATAATCTTATTAATCACAGGTTCGAAAGTGCATTCAATTTGAACTTGACTTCTCATCATATATATATATATATATTTACGTAGCTTTAGTTTTCAATGTTAAATAACTCGATAATTAATCCTGCCGTCAGACTCGCGTCGAAGAAACATCACCTTCGAGTCCATCGGAGAGGCTGTAATTATAGGAGAGAAAGCGCGCAACTTCCGATACACCCCGTATAATATGTACCATCTAGCCTGCTATGTGTTCGCGTCACGTATACCTATGTACATAAGCGTACCTGGCTATCTACTCACCATGGGCAACGCGCCACTTCGCGTGATCCCGTGGGACTGCGCGTCCCACCATACACGGTACACACCACCCTACACACCGCCGTCGGATAAACCGCTTATTTTATTCATAAACCCACAACGTAGAATCAATATTGCACCGTCGCTCCTGCACGCTCGAGGAGAGAGAGACGTCGTCAACGACGGCAACACGTTCGCCGCCTCGACGGGGATCAGGGAATGCGGACGTTTAACTCAACCCTCTCTCGCTTTCCGTCCTTTCACCCTCCTACGCGAACCCTTCGTCCCTTCGTCGATTCGCAGGTCCGTGCTGGCTTCCCTGTGTGTCTCCCCACATACGTGTATATATTTCTCTTTCTCTCTCTCTCTCTCCTAAACCCTCTACGCGTCTGTGTCGGAACGTGTCTAACGCGGTGGAATGTAGAGTGAAATTAGTCCTTAGCCCCACGTCTGATCCCGTGGAACGCTATGTCCATTCTATGACAGGACATATCCCGACTCTCTGAGAGGGAGGGAAGAGGGAACGGCGGTATTTCGCGCTGCTGAAGCGCAGCCATTGTCCGGACGATATAAATGTCAACAACTACTGTCAGACAATCGCGACATTCCAAACGGGATATAAAGTAACGCGTCGGACGCTTTTTCCGATCTGCCAAGCTCGTTGATTGATATGTTGCTAGGACGCTGTACGGATTCACGAAGGCTGTCACAAATTCATTAACGAATACCGAAATCTGCGACATGACAATACTTCGAGCGCAATGAGATCGTTTGTCAATAATGTAAATTTCTTTTTCCTACGTAATATGCTTAAGCAAGCATGTAAAAGTTATAATTATTGAAAGAATATATATATATGATACAAATTTGTGTTAATTTTTAATTTAAAAAATTGTTACCTCGAAAATTGATACACGCTGTTTTTACATTCACGAAACTATTCGTCTCATTGACATTGATTTTGATTCGATATGGCACGACGAAACGAGGAAAAGCGCACGTGCCCAAATATCACACGAGGTTAATGTAACGCCGCTAAAAGAAGGCTAATGAGACTTGCAGCGGGCGAGTCTGGTAAAGCTCAAAAACGCCATGGCGAACCGAAAACTGAAATTGTCCTATACTTGAACCAGCTCTTTCTGTGCTTTCAGGTAATAACAGGTAACACGAACACGTATTTGGAGTCCAAGCACGAGCTGCAGCCGCCTCTGTGGGCGAGCAAGATCCGTTTTCTGCCCTACAGCTATCACAGGCGGACGGTTTGCATGCGGGTCGAGCTCTACGGGTGTTACTGGAGCGGTAAGCTGTTTGCACTCGCCAATTTTCGTGAAACTTGCCCCGGACCGGTACACCCGACGGACTGTCCATTAACCCTGATACCGGCTGCGGCCAGAGCAAATTTGCTTTTCAAAATCTTGCTCGTATAATTCCGTTTTCACCCGGGAATCGAATTAGCTACGGGCGTCGAATAGATGTTCTCAATGCCGAAAATGCGAGGAATCATTAGCGCGCATGTTGGACTATTACCATATGATCGAAACGCATATGAACAGTTTATTTTACTAGTAATTTCAACAATTCATATATGAATTATTACGCACAAATCCATATGAATTATTACATACAAATCCATATGAATTATTAGAAATTATATATAGATGATATGACTTGACGTGTGAAAAGAATCGGTTTATACATATTTGCGATGCATTGTTTAGGTATATTTTTATATTATGAATGATTTATTTAATTTTTAATCTGTTTAAAAAGAACAGCGATTTTAATTTATACAGTGTATCGAAATAAATGCGAAAAATTTCAAAAGATGATTCTTTGTCGAAAATTAATTTGTCTGAAATTTGAGAAAAAGATTAAAAACTTAAATGTTACCTCCCTTTTTAGAAAAGTGTAACTCCTCAGGGAAGGATATAAGAGTATATGTTAATATAAGAAATCCCTCTTAATTCGACAAAGAACCATCTCCTAAAATGTTTCGCGCTTATTTAGATATACCCTGTATTTACGCTTTGATCAAATGTTAAAAAATTTACTAAGATTTTATACACAACCTAGAACACATTATAAGCATATTCATTCATAATACATCGATATAAAATTTGTATTTATTTTCTTTATAAAATATCCTCTTTGTATATCGACCATAAATTAAGACTCGCATAACTTGTTTTCAGACAAATCGAAACAAATCGAAGATAGTATATCGCGATCGATAAAAGGGTCACCATCGTATCTTTTTATTTCCACAGACGGCGTGGTGTCCTACTCGATGCCCCAAGGCGATAAAAGGGGCAACGGATGGGAATTCTTCGACGCGACCTACGACGGACATTGGGACGGCGAGTTGCGCCGTGGTCTGGGTCAGCTGACGGATGGTAGAACGGGGCCTGATAATTTCAAAATGTACTACGAGAACGATCGCGCCCCGGGCTGGGTCGGCTGGAGAAATGATAGCCGCAACCAGCCGGTCGAGATCAAATTTGAGTTCGACAAAGTCAGGGAATTCTCCGCCGTCCATATCTTCTGCAATAACGAATTCACCAGAGGCGTCCAGGTTCGTAAAGCTCTAAATAGTATATTTAAATATGTATATTAACTCTAACGAAGATAATTCTCATCATTTCTCTCTATGAATATGATTAGAATAGAATAATAATTTAATAATATCGTTAAAAATCTGACATAATAATATTTTAATATTTGATTACGATATATCAAAATATATAAAAAATTCGCGCGGAAAAAAATATATATACGTTTCTCCTTCTTAGATATAAAATATATTTCACTTTAAACGCATGTGCAATCGATTTCGTCGTGATTCCGCACGGATAACGATCCGGTAGAACCTAAAGAATCCAGGTGATCAGGACGGAGCACGCGCCGCTTCTATATCGAATTACTTTCCCTATCCGAGATTCTTCCGTGAACTCGTTGACGCCGAGGAATCGTTTACCTTCGCTTTAGCGACATTATTCCTTAGTCCCCGTCAGGAATGCGCAAGCAGCGTCGATCAACATGCTCGCCATCCACGGGTTCTTCGTAATCCTCTCCGCCTTTTACCTACCATCACCATCCGCCTAAGTCGCGCAGCATCTGGTCGGCAAAAGACGCACCCTCATCCCTCCTCCTTCGTTTTCCCTCCCTTCTCGCCGAGCCACGCTTGATTGAATATTCCACTCGACGCTTTATCAGGTAGACGCCCATTGAATATCAATACACCGTGGAGCAGCAATTCCGGCAGTTTGATATCTGCCACGGTCTCTCTGTGCACCGACTCGGCTATTAGCCGCGTTATTTCACGAGGAATCTTGCAAATCCCAATGGGGAATTCATACACATGTTATTGCGACATGCATCGTTTAGTTGGAATTCAAGCATCGGAATCGTTGATATTTGCGGGGAGGATTTTCATTGCAATTTATGGCAATTAGATGAATAATTGTAGACGATAAATCGCGTTAAGAAACATGCATAATAATAAGTTATTTAACCGATTCTATAAATAATACTCAACGTCGCGCGAATATCGCGGAATTTCTCGAGCGAATTTCTTGCACTCTTCATATATCCGGGACGTTTTCATACCGCTGTTTCGTAATCTCAACTTTTATTCGCGAAACTTAAGAGCAAGCCGGAAAATTTGAGCGGAGATACTTGATGGAAGAAAAACAATTCCCGGATGCCTCTTGAGAAAGGCAGATAGGAAACTTTTCGCATCATTCGCCGTGATTCAGCGCGTTGTAGCCGCGGAAATGAGTTCACGGGGGCGGCTTATAAAGAGAAGATTCCTCGTGCTTACTCCGAGTTATGATTCGATCCATTGTTGTAATTTCCGTTTCGTCACAAATCGCGACGTCCTACGTAGATCTGATGACTCGATAGTATTATGACAGCCGGCAATTTACATACGCAGGTTCGTCGTGCTTTTATTGTATCAAAGCGTTACAATGCACTTTTCTCATTACAGTTTGCGGTCTTGATACCTCGATTATAACGAGAGATAACAGAGGCAACAATACGAGATCCGAATAGAATAGGAATAATGTCCATTATTAGGCGAAATATTGCAAATCGAAGGGGGATGAAAATGACAGCGCGTATATCAGAGAATATAATGAATGTTCGTCGTTCGTATAATTATGTACATTACGCCGACTAGCTAGTGACGGCACACCGAAAATCTGGAAACTCGAGATCTCTCCAACGACGCAGTCCAGGCCGCATATATTGCATGTTTCATCGTATCCGAGACAAATCCGCTTTAAACACGCGTGCGTATTCTGTCATATGCTACAGTTCGTTTAAAGGTTCGACAGGGCGTGCGGTGAAATATGTATGGGAGATTATTGAACGTTGCCAGAAACGGAAGCATCCGAATTTTGATCCGAATAAAATTGCCTCGAATAATTCTTTCGCGCTGAAATCGCAGGGAGATAGAAGAGATTATATCGTAATACCGTATTATACGCAGAATAACTAATTTTTATAGCCGCGGAAAAAATATTTATTACTAAACATATATCTCATTTAACAAAAATACGCAGTTATTAAATAGTTGTAAAAATATTACTATGGTTACTCGCGTAAAAGTATCATTTTAATTTCCGTAGAAGAAATAAATTCTTTGGTATTTCGACATAGGTTTTTTAATTTGCAAAAAATTCGATTACTATACGTGTGTTATGAGCAAATAGCTTTTTTTTAATAATTATACTAATTGGGCAAAAAAATGACGATTAATATTTCGCGAGTGAAACCGCGAGAACAAGGGAATATTATATATATATATATAGATAGTATCGATTACGGATGTGCATATGGAAAATTATTAATGAAAGCACCTGACCCAGCGATCTAGTGTATGTATAAGCGGGACTCGGCAGTACTTGAAGTGTGTCATTATGGATCCTTGAAATAGGAACACTCGAGATAGTTTTGCGTTTAAAAACTAAAAACACGGTAAAATATCACTCGATGTTTTTCAGGAGAAGCAGTATATCCGACTGTAGCAGCGGTATTCGATCAACGATTGCCGCGAAAATCCACGGGGCGTGCGTACTCATCCGTGCATGTGTGCGTGCGTTGCATACGTGTGTGTTCGCAATGCGAAATAGTGAATATCTCGCACAAAGCGCAAATACAGCCACGCGGGCGGACGATCGCGGTATAAACGCAGTATAGGATAGGTAGGGAGGGTATACTCTTTGATGCTGGGTTCAGTGATCACCCTCCCCAAACATGCCCCACCCCCGTTAGTGTTCGTATTACGATTCAACTTCATCCCAGATTCCCGCCGAATGTATATAAACTTTAATAGCCTGTTAAACGTAAATTAGAACGTAGTCGCGCGATGAAATTCGCTGCGCGAATACCGCGAGCGATATTCCTTATCGCGCGATGCGCGAATAACGTAAAAACGCGCATGCATACGGGATGGTCCATAAATGGATTATACGCTTTATAATCCAAGATACGCGGTAGAGAGAGAGAGAGAGAGACTTATATGATATCATAACGATGAATCGAAATGGTGTTTACATATCGCGAAAGATTATATAAACTCGTATTTCGCGAAAGAGAGGCAAACGTATATACATATACGCAAAATAATATTAAGTACGCGTAAAAGCATATACAAATATATATTACACGCGGATATTGAAAGAGCGAAACCATTGCATTCCGAATAGATTCCTTGCGAAAATGCATGGAAATGCGTGATATATAAGATGATGCGCGCTCATAAATCAATATCTCAGTCAGTCGAGAACTCGGGAGAGGTCGTTTTGCAGAAATATACTAAAAAACTCGCTGCGCATTGATACATCGGAGAATTATTACCGAATTTACGAGAGAGAGGGTGTTCTCTCGCGCAGAAAAAACGAAGGAAAAGAATAGAAACGAGGAAGCATCGCCTCATCGCGCGAGAGCGTACGTACTAATGGCTTTTCGATAACCAATTCGGATAATCGGGACTCGCGTTGAAAAACCGACCGGTATCTTCGCTTAAACCCAATAATTACAAAGTCCCTTATATACACGAGCACACAAACTACGGCGGCTACTTTATAGGCTATAAATGCGCCGCCCGGTCTTTGATGCAGCGGTCAGCGGTCCTCGAAAACGGCCACGTTGCAACCTCTTCGTGGCCAGTGTCCCCGACGTATAGAGGCACCTAACACCCGATCAACGTCCTCCGGATTCCCTTTCAACGTCGACTGCTTCTATACACGGTCGCTAAAATTCAACTACGATGAGAGATTAATGGGAGATTCTTGAGGCGATTTGGAGACGATTTTTCCTCAGCGAAAATGTCCAGGCACCAATGATTTTCGAGTTATAAACGATTGAAAATAAAAGCTTTTTTTATAAACTAAGCCTTGTGAAAATCAATTATTAACAAAACTACATTTTTTTAGTTAATTTCAGGTAAAGTTTACTTTAATAGAATTTTAATTTAAGGCTTAGTTATATAAAGATATACGGAGAGAAGTTTCTCTTAGAATTTATCTTGAAAATCGTGGTAATCTAACAATAAGACAATATGGTATTGGAAGAATTTTATAAGAGTTTCTCTATATAATATTTACCACAATAAAAAATATTAATATGTACATAGTAAAATTAATCGAACAAATATTTTTATTGTGGTAAATATTAATTAGAAAAACTTATAAAATTCTTTTAACATTATATTGTTTTAGATTACCATGATTTCCAGGATAAATTCTAAGAGAAAATTCTCTCTGTGTCCGTGATTTCCAAAATTGGAAACATTAAAAAATGATGAGTTTCCTCGACATTTTCGCAGAGGAAAACCCGTCTCCAAATAATCTTAGGAATAATCTCCCATAAACGTATGGTACGGTAAGATGGGACACCCCGTATAAATCCCTGAGTGCTTCTGTTATATTTATACAGGTCGCAAACTTTACGCTTTCTTTCTTCCTCTCTGTGTGCGCGTTTTACATTCTTAATATCCAATAAATAATATTTTTCCCCCTGGACGGAGTCATCCGATGAAACACGTCCGTCGCAAGCGATAATGGATCGTGATACACATCCGGCCACCAAAACGGCGACCTCCGCCGGGGATTCTGCAAATCCGCCCGGACTCGCACGCGCGGATCATTCTGGAGTAAGGTAATTTTCCGGAGTACGCGTCGTAATGCAATAAGGGTGCAAAGGAGGAGCGAGAGGGAGAGACGAATCTGCTTATTTGCGAAGAATGAATTTACCGGCGTTACTCGTTTCGTAAAGGGAGAGGTTCGTCGCGCAGACACGAGTCCCCTCGTTGTCTGATATTTCCGGTAGTAGAGAAAATACCTCTATCTCTCGCTCACATTCGGTAAGAGATGCCATCTCGTCAAAGTGCATAAATTCGCGTGATTGCGCGCGCCTGGGTCGATGTAACGATCTTCCGCGCGCGCGTTCGGCGTGCCGATTTTATTTACGAATGCTCTTTCCTCTCTCGAAATCCGTTTCAATTTTGCTGACGGACGTTCCCTACGGTACGTGTTTGGCCGAACGAAGGCGCATTACCTATTCAGCGTAATGCATAAAACTTCATGGTCGACTAATGGAACGAAATGGAATGTATATGCGCTGTCATAATTATTCTAGAGAATTCTCTCTTTCTCTCAAATATATATAGTTACCTCGTTTTTAAAAGCTGCGTCTGCAACCTAATAACACGCTGCCAATAAATTATATTTAGCGCGAGATACTACATCTCTTGCCTCACATATATTTATGTCTCTCGGTAGAACGCTTCAATTCTTTAATACTCTCGTATATGAAATAAGTCAAAAAGTGTCATATATATTTAAATATGCAGAGATTTAAGACGTCCGTATGTATGTATATTCAACGACATTGCGAAAATACTCTTGTTTTTTGATGGATATTCATTTTTAAACGCGCTTTGCGAAATCGGAAGTCTTTAATGTTTCACGTCTCGACTGCATCTTACGTTCAAAATATTATATTTAACCAATCAAACTGAAAATATAATTCACATGCACGTGCAAGATATAAAAAATGTATCTAAATAAGTGCGAAAAACTTTAGATGATTCTTGGTCGAAAATTAAGGGAAATTTCTTATATAGACATATACTCTAAAAATGAAGAAAATTTTGTTTATTAAATAGGGATTGTTGGTTTCATCCCCTTAACGATACAGCAAGATCCACAAAAATTTAATAAATATCCTTTTTATTATTCTTGGTAGAAAGTATCCATCTCAAGTTTCATTTTTTGTCTCAGATTTGAGAAAAAAATAAAGCTTAACTTTTACCACCCTTCCCTGTTTACCTTTAATTTTCGACAAAAAATCATCTCCTAAAATTGCCCGCACTTGTTTAGATACACCCTGTATATATATATCTCATCTTTTTCCCGACGACTTTCGGCAGTAACGGAAAACTCGTACACAAACGAGTTTTATGGCGACCCTATATTCATGCACCACCTACACGTGCAAGGTGCATCGGCATGTCGATACTACTGCTGTTACGTCGGATTCCGCGTCTTCCCGCCGCATGGTATATATCGCTCCCGGCTGCCATTGCCGCGAGATAAACCTCTGGAAATTGGATTTACATGACGCGGATTAGGATAACCGAATCTGATAGGCCGACTCTCTGTCTACCGCATCATTGGAAATGTATTCCGGAGGTTCTCCTACGGCTGTATTATCCAACCTAGTAAAATACGAGACAAGAACGAGAAAACACAGACATCACGAATGGAATTTGGCGACACTTTATTGTCTGACATGTCTGCGCTGAGACGAAAACATTATCGATCCTCGTTGTTGGACGCCAAAAATTCTACTATCTTTCAACTAAATAAACCATTCGATTGCCGTTTGCCCAAAATAATTTTTTCTTTTTTTTTTTAGAACACTCTTATACTGCATACGCACAATAGAAAAATATCGATTTTTCTAAAAATTTTTACTAAAAATATATTCACATAAATCTAGTTCAGAAGAAACTTATTTATCGCTCATGAACTTGTATAGTAACTCGATAACTTTTAGAGAACCACCACTATACAAGTTCTTATACGCAGTTCTGTCAGACACAGATATTATATTCCTTGACAATCAACTTTACGCGATATGATATTCCTCGCTCCAATTCCGACGAAATACAGCACACACAGAATTCCTCGACAAATTGCTCGCTGGCCATCGTGGACTAGCGTAAGCTAAGATAGGAGGCATTCAAGAACATGCTTGCGGTATAGTCACGGAGTCCAGCGTTCACTTAAGCCCCGCGGAAATTATTCAACATTAATCGAAACTTACGGAATTTCGGATTATCCGCCGCAACGTCATCATTGTGATCATTGTCGCCAGATATCGGGAATTTCAAACGGCCCGGTGACTTGCGAATATTCAACAAGCACTTTGCACACGCGGCACTGTTTGCAGATACGAAATTATTTAGACAATCACGCTGCGCTTTCCCACATCGGTATTTCCGCGATGACGTTCGATCGTCCATATTTCAACGGTATATACCTTCGCAAATCCTTCGCGAAAAGAAACGTTATAAATCGTATATATGCGCGGCTCCCTTTCTTCTTTCACGAGCGACTTGAAGGAAATAATATTTTTGTATAAATTTTATATAAAAAAAAGGAACAAAAAACGCGCATAAATTCAGGGCCGAGCAAGTATATATATAAATATATATTTTTTTATATGAATGTTATCTCGATGCTTTTACTAACAAAAAAAGCCATGCGACTTTGGATAATACTTGGAATAATAGTTGATTTATGGTTAGATCATATACTCCATCGAGAACTTTAGGGGCACATTAAACTTTTATAACATTCTCAAAAGTATCACAGTTTTTCGCTTCTCGCGTGAAAACGATTCACACTCTACTTTGTCTGTGAGAATCTTCTTTGAAGGTTTTCGAGTCGAATCTATCCATCAACGTCAAAGCACGCTGGTATTTTATCTAATATTCTACGGTATAATCCGTTTTATTTCATATCAGCCGGAGCTACTCTTTTAACCGTAGGAAGAATAATTTTTTTCTTGTCGACGCGACTATAGTTTGCGGTTAATCGCACAAATTCGACGATCAATATCGGAATCGATTGCTCTCGGTCGCGCGATTTTTAAGGGCCACGATTTCATCGGGGAGTAGCAGGCGGGGTAAGGGCCTGCATTCCGTGACGACGGAATTCCTTTCCTGTCAGATCGTCGTCCATGGATTTACGAGCACGAGAAAGTAGTCAGCCCTGAAAAATGCTATCCGCGGTCAAAAATTTACGGGCGCGCGATACGGTTGTTCAGGAGCTGAAAAAGTAGCTCGGAGAGGCGGAATAGGAATTTTGCTGTTGCGAAATACGTACTGTGTTTCCTCTTTCATGCCGACAAGACACTCATGCGCGTAATACGTACGATAAATTTTACTTGAACGCTTATTCACTGCATAATCCGTACCATTACCTTTCTCGACTCTAGAGTTATTTATTAATAAATATTTTCTTCGAATAAATATATATAGAGCTATATAACACAACACGTGTATATCTTTTTTTTTCTAAGTCATCTATTTCTATTTATCTATTTATGTAGTACTATATACTAATTTGCATTCAAGATATTCAGAGTTTTTGGTTTTCGAATTACAGGTGTTTTCTCAAGTCGACATACTCTTCAGTATTGGCGGGAAATATTACACAGGAGAACCAATTACATACACTTACATGGAGGACAAGATCTTTGAGACTTCCCGAAATATTACGATCAAACTTCATCATCGAGTTGGAAAATTCGTTAAGCTAAGACTCCATTTCTCGGATCGATGGATCATGGTCAGCGAAGTAACCTTCGATTCTGGTAAGACAATTAATCGTATCATAAGATATATTATTTTTATTTCGGAAAAATAATTTCATATTATCTCTCTCTCTCAATTTTTTATCAAATGCATTCAAATCAGTCATTATTAAATAATTTTCTATCTATGATTATATATAATTATTCTATACTTTTATATACTCTTAATTAATATTAATGATATAAATCTCAAAAATTATTAAATTTTTCATTAAAAAATATTTCTCTTAATACATAAGACGGCAAACTTTTCTATATATCTTGCAGCCTTTATAATATGTATTAAGGAAGAAATAATAACGTCTAATGAAAGTTTAAAAATGTAGGAAGCACAGCTAAACGTATATCAGACGTAGAAAATTGTGCGTCATCTTTTTATCCGGAGAAACGCGGAGAGTCGGAGAGAAAAACGTAATGTTTTCTCTTAAGAAATTTATGAAACTTTATTGTGCAGTCGACTCACGCGCGCGCGCGCGCGCGCAAGCGAGCGAGCAAAAGCGTTCGATACAAACGTACAGTTTAAATTCAATGTTCAAAATCTCCATAATCGTGATCGAGACAACTAGGGCAACAGAAAATTTATTCGTTCGATGTTTTACGGACGGTGGTGCGTGGGAGGTAGAACACGGCGCGTAACTAAAAAGAGATGACGCGATACGTCATTTAATTTCACTGAATCCATCATCTCTCGTCCATCTATCCCGTGACAGCGTCCAGCAGGACGTGCCTGGCCGAAATTCTGGAATACATTAAAACCCTCGAACGAGAGAGGATATATATATTTCTACGCTGATCCGCGCGCCATAACGGACAAAAACAATGGCTGGCACCGAGAGAGGAAAAAAAGAGACGTGGAACGTCGCATCGCGCGGCGGAACTAGGGACGAAAATTTCTGCTCGTGACGCGAAATCGTTTCATGGTACCAGCCTCCGTAACCAGAGAGATGGTCGATGGAGAATGTATTTCTTTTTGCGATTCTGCCATTTCATTCCAATTCGGCGCAACCAAACCCGCATCCCTCCTCCGTCTTTGCTCCCTCGGAACAACGATTGCCGCCTGTCAATCATCGAAAAAATAAATCTCCAAGTTGATTTAAACTGATACGTGCGATAATTGACAATGGTTTATCGTGTATATCGTGCAGCTATTTTAAAACGGACGGATACTTGGGAGAAGAGGGAAACATATGGAAGAGAGGCATGCAATATAATCTATACCACCTGTCTCCTTAAGTGGCATCTCTCCGGTTTTGACATCGCGCGTACAGAAAAATCGACTGCGATTCGATTTAGCATTCACTCGACAGAAATCAACTTCCCTTTTCTTCACGATCGGTTTCCCGGGGAGGATAAGAGAACGCGGTATAGCGTTAGACAGAGGGAAGGCGCTTTATCAACGAAGATATAAATCGCGGGGAAGGTATGTCTCCATATCGAATGCGCGCGATTCTGAAAGCGACTTTCGCCTCGTCCCACCCGTTTCCGCGTTTCCGCCTGATTTAACACGGATTCGATAAAAATCGCATCTTGCGAGGAGTTTATCCGCGTTTACAAGTGCGCCAATGTCGAATAAAAAGGATTTATAATCACGGGATAGAACCTATGAGAAACGATGTGTCAGCGATATCAGCATATTATAATATATACTGCGAATATCTTGCCGCGTAAAATCCTTATCGTTAAATGTTATATCTAAAATTTGCATACGGTTCCATTAATAAAATTGCAAAGAATTATATCGCTGTTATCTATTTGCGCGATAGCGCCGTTATTACAGAATATCGCATAAAAATTTCTCTCGCGACAAAACACATATCTCGTCAAATTGTACCACAAATTGTCACGCATTATTGATCTGAAATAAAATTAAAACCGACATTTCTGGAACATGTTGCATAGTAAATTACGGCACGAGTAGTTCTTAGAATGTGGAAAGATCAAGTCATGATATTTTTAACTTTGAAAAACTTGGACATACATGCTCTAAATACGTATATTTTAATATCTATTAATTGACAGTTCAGAGAAACGAGACGAACTCATATAATAAATTAGGTCAAACGTACAATTATACCGCGAAACTGCATAGTCATACTTCCTTATCTTTTCAAGCGTCACCTTGTTTTGCATAAAAACGAGAAAACTTCCGCTCAGGATAAACGAGTGGAACGAACGATCGTGACTAAACGAATTCGTAATAATAATTATCGATTAATGCCACACAAAAATAATACATCTGCTTATTTTGATAAAAAACGAATAATATTCTATATACTTCGACCAAAAACATTTCTTCCTAATAATAATAGTTCTAAAAAAGATTTGCAATTTTATTTTGATATAAAAATCATTTACATATAAAATAGATATTCATAATTAATTGATTAAATCATGTTGGTTAAAAAGATCGATAATATTTTCTTTTCTAATGTAAAAAAAATATATATATATATAATATATATATAAGAAAAAACAAATAAATTTGTCGATCAACCTCCAATACACAAAATATTTTTCTATTATATAGAAAAGCGCGAATTTACATTTTAATAAAACGATATAACAATAACGAGAAGAAAATTTTCGTAGCACTGCTCCTATATCTGATTTATAAAGGGACATATGGTAATTCCACGGGCTCAAAGTGTCACGTATTATGATACATAGCGAACGTTCTGCAGAAACGCGACACAAAGCTGGGAGATCGCGATCATTCCTCATCCTTTAAAGTCACCCTTCAATCTCCCCTGCGAAAAGAAGGGCTTTCGCATAGAAACGCACAGAAAAGCAGGTGAGCAAGTCATCGAACGGTTATAGGCGATACGGAACTTTCGATAAGTTTGGTACATATCGTCCATGTAAGGATAACTTTTAGTAGCTTTCGAAAGCCTCTATTATAAAGATTCACACGATGAACCGTTCGCTGATGTGACACAGCTTTGCTTTCTTTCCGTTCTATTCACGCACAGAAAAAAAATTCTTTGTTCGAGCAATAGAATAACAATGCAAGTTTTCATCTGTTAAATCTATTTTAAATCTCATGCCATTTGTATTTTAAATCTTGATGCAATATATTTTTGTATTTCTTCCATTATGACGACAAAAAGATCTCATTCTAGAAAATGAGTTACAACTAATGAGAAATACGAATTAATACAATGTTGAGAAAAAACAGAAGGTAATTTTCTTTACGTAAATTTTCGAAACGTTTTCGCGTTAATTGGGAAAACTGTATCCGTATGCATTTATATGTATATATACATGAATCTTCAATATGTATAAGTAATGAATCTTCAAAGAGATCATACTAATAATTCTGTGCAGTATTTCGTGCGGAAGTAACCTTAACTGAAGCAGGAAGGAACAGATTTTCTGGTTCGTTGACTGAAATTCAGTAATTCTGAGGAAACCGTAATCTTCGCATTGTAATGAGAAATTACGCGACGAACTAATGGGAGATAAGAACATCCTCGCTCTTATTCAAGGTATTTACGTACAAAGGGTCGTTTGCCGAGAGGACTTAGCGACGTAGCGACGAGATCATAAAGCGGGCACGAAACTCTTTACTCGTTTCCTTCTGCTCTCCGCTCTTTTTCTACGTCAAAGGATATATGCAAAAACGGCGGCGCAAGCCAGACGGCTCTTTTGCAGGCGCATAAAATACATTGCAAATCGTAATAAAAACGACGAAACTAACATGCTGAATATTCAACTGCTACCAATTGTGATCATTACGGTAATTTAATCGTGTCGATTGATTCTAGAGCGTATTAGGTTACTACGTATCGTGTTGTTCGCTTGCAATATAAATACCAAGCTTTTCGTGTAAACAAAAAGAAATTTATTGAAATTATATGTATATATACAGAATAAATAAATAATGCAGTGCGACAATTATATGGAAGAATTTGTGCGGGTGTATATGTGCGAGCGCACGTGGTCAATATTTATTTATGATGATATTAATTATGATACGTCACATAAACGCGAAACTATTGTTAAAAGCATTTAATGACAGCTACAAATTCGATATTTCTAGAAACATAAAATGATCGTTAAATCGAATCGTCATTCTTATTTTTTGCGCTATATTTCACGACGAACTCTCTACTCGTAAATACGATATTCTCTAGTTACGGTTATATAATTGAAAGCCAGAAAGAATTACCGATAACAATCGACGATGAGGGATGATCGGAAATTGTTCAAAGTATCCTTCGATAACAATCCCCGAAGAAACGTCTCATAGAAAAAAAAAAACTCGTACGCCTTCCGGCAAGAAACGTATTCATAGACAACTATGAACTATTACTTGTAAGATAATAATAATATCCAACTACTCAGCTCTCATAAGAGAGCATTTCCTGCTCCTGTTCAAAATATTCACGTATAGGTTGTTTGTCAAGCGGATTTACCAACGAGATCGTATAAACCGCGGGAGGAAATCTGAAACTCTGTCCCTGGTACATTCATAACGCTCGTCTTCCTCGTGCATTACAGTATATACCATCGAAATACGCCTCTTTCAGAACGGATTCGCGTAGATGTGAATGTAACGTCGTGACGAGAATGTCGCACAAAAAGATCCGTCGATTAAAGCAAGGAGCGAAGAATAGATATTCGCTAAAATGACTTGTACAGTTACTAATGATATGCAATTACTGAGGAAATTAGCATCAACTTTTACATAATATCTTGATCATAATTTTAACAATTATTAACTGCATAATACCACCAGCTGCATTATATTAATTTTTATATTACTATACATATAATTATTATTATTATTATTATTATTATTATTATTATTATTATTATTATTATTATTATTACTAAAAGAGATTCAAATATGATTTTTTCTTTGGGAAAATTGAGAATCATGAAAAAGAATTTCGAAGTTTGAAAAGTAAGTAAACTTTAAAGTACGTTGCATCGATGCATCTTATAAAGTGACGACGAACATCGCGAATCCCTGCATGTTCGATGCAGCGATCCATCGT